TGTGTGTGATTGGGATGAAAACTTAAAATTGGGATGACTGGGATGAAAAGTGGATAATTAGGAACCCATTTTTGTTCAATTGCATAGTTATAAACAGGAGTTTTAATGTTTAAAGCGTGTGATTAATTATAAGCTACCTAAAATCAGCACAAACTGTGGGACACAATCTTTGAAATACCAAATTCTTTGGCTCTTGAATGCAAATAAACAACTGTTGGATATAATGAAAGAATCACCTTCTTCAAGAGTGTATCAAAGACAAGTCTGCAAATATCGTTAAAGATGTTCTGCACAGTCATTCTTGTATTTGTTGATGTCAGTGCCAAATGCTACAAGTTCAATAATATATTGTATTGTTCCTTATACTACTTCTACGACTTAGAAGTTTATTGCACCTTCATTACTCATGTTGATTATGTTGCTAATTTACCATGCATTAGTGTCTACATAAGCTGCTGTTCTTTGTTATTGCTATATCACTTGCCAAGCACTGATAGTACAGCAATCAGGACCTCAGTAAGGGACATTTTCATGCCTTTAGCTCTGATCTTTTCATCGTGAATCCAATGTATGAATAGAAAAAAAAACATTTTGAGACCTTCTTCTGTGTAAAACGCTCAAGAAACTGTACTGACGATTTACACAATAAATTGACACCGCTAACAAAAAAAAAATTTATATGGGTGGAGGAATATATTTTTGAAAAAAGAACCCTACCACCTGCCCAACCTTACCTGTAACCTACAGGAGAAATGGTGATTCAACAACCACCCATTTTGTGACATGAAACCACAAAGAAGTCTGTACGGATTTTTTTTTTTTTTTTTTTTTGTGGTATGAAGCCATCCCATTTCAGAAAAAAAAAAGCTTCTTACCTGCCGAAAATTCGTCCTGGTTCAGAGATAGAACCTGGGACCCGCCTTTTCGAGGCGCTCACTCTGCCAAATAGCTTACCAGGAAGCTAGCAATTGGTGACGCAAGGACGAATTAATCGACAAGCCGAAGCATATGGACACAAGTAATGCAAATGAGTTCTGGGGAGACCCGCAAGGTGGCGGAAGGCTTAAGAAAGGGTAACTTTGAGAAATCCGCATGGAGTGGCCACAAAACGAGAGGTTGTCCAATTATACAACACCCTGTGGGTCTCCGTAGGACTCATTTGCAAATAAAAGGAACGTAAGTTTTCTATAGCTTTGCTGAAAACATTTTCTCGATCAGGAATTGAACAATATAACACCGTCTATGTGAGGCCGTTTTTCTGCTATATGTTAGCCGAGACAGTAGAGGGATGAGCAAGATGTCAAGGGAGTGTGCAAAATCAGTTGTGTGGAAATTTAAGATGAACAGCAGTACAAAAAAAAAGAAAATGTTACCTTTCACCAGACTTCAGTACAACAGTACAGGGAGGGATGCAAACTGCTTATAATTATTTACCATAGCCCCAGCTGTATATTTGTAAAGGGGCATGGGACGCACAAAAAAAAGGAAACATAACAATTACAGTGGATATAAAAATGTGATGTTTAGTCTGACACAACTCCATTCAAATGCAAGTACGATGAGAAGTATAGCACATTTGAAAACAAACTATACGATATACACTTCATGCCTAATCAGTTAAATAAATGGGTAACGTACTGCACAGGCATGAAAAAAAGAAGCAGAAAAAAAGGCAGGACGCTTTCTGCTTCCTTCCTTCATGCTGCTTGCGCAGTTAATTAAATGAGACATTGTAAGTGAGTTGGCACTAGTGCTATTATTACATATTGAAAACACAGCGCGAAAAACGGCAGGAAACAAAGGAGGAGACAAGACAGCGCTCTGTTTTGTCTTCTCCTTTCTTTCCTGCCGTTTTTTTGCGCTGGGTTTTCAATATGTATGTGAACCAACTCGCCAAGCGTTAACCTCAGCATGCTACAATATTACGCTTCTCCAGCATGAAGTTTACTCCAGCCATCTAGTGGTCCAAATGCATCTTTTTTTCTTTTTTGCAACTCATCGCCACCATTGCTGAAGAGCACTATGCCATCTGCAAATCTCACACTGTTAACATGCTCTTGGTTTCTTTCCAGTCTAGTTATTTGAATGCTTCTTCTAGGCATGCAGCGGACAACAGTCTGACCTCTTTCTGTATTGTAATAATGAAGCTGAAACCACCACATGATCATGAGGCATAAATGTCGGCTCCATTAAAGCGCAACCGCTATTGATTCCCAGAGCACTGCAGTGGACATTATCGTTACATTATAGCACAGAACTTTTGTCTAAAAGAAGAACACAACTTGAATCTTTTTCACGTTGTTCTCTTTTCTGTTCCACATTTAAGTCGGTCAGCAACGACAGTCATCCCATGCTTGTGGCAATATCCCTTTTTGTGGAGAAGCAGGATAGCTGCAGAAATTGTAGGCCCTAACTAAGGCATTGTTTCAAGCAGTTGGTGGCAATGCGACACATTGATAATTTGGTGCCGTAGTGTGATTTGCGAGTATACATGCCTGATATAAGATTTTTCTCTAACCGAGAGGCAAACACTGGCTGCATACACGCAATTAAATTCATGCGGTGATTGAGCAACTGGTTTGTGAAAATAATGGCAGCTGTTACAAGTTTGATGCCCTTGGCACTGCCGAATGCTGCTCACGAAATCGGCCTGCACGAAATTCAATGCGATACCAAGCCCGCAGCGTGAGACGGGCTTACCGATTATAGGCAGGCCACATTATGTTTCTTTTTTTAGTTAAAGTTATTCATAAGTCTTGCGATATATACATTTTTTTTCTGCATGGTGATTGAACATGATTGAATAATCAAAGGTTCCAAAGTGAAAACTGTCAGGGAGACTTCTCAACAAAAAAAAAAAGTAAACAATGGACTATAGTTATCAGTCAGCAAACCAGTGTGAAATAGCAGCAAAATATACAAAAAATGTGCATAAAAAGTAAGGCAATACAAGGAATGATGGCAAGTTGTTTGAAACAAAAATTCAAATAAACATATTAGGCAGACAAACTTTTTCACAAATTAGTTTTACGATGTTGGCAAAATGATTGCATTCCGCATGATCTTAAATCAAAAGGTAGCGTGTTCCACCGCGCTACACCATGTTCAAAATATAAGGATTGAAGAAAATGCGTGAAAACAGGTACTACGAATGAGCGACGTAGTATCAAATATCGCACGTTTGAAAGTGCAGCCTGTAGGCCGCGCTCAAGCCGGTGGGTCAAAAAACTTGACCTTGAGCAGGTTCGCTTTGCGTAGTGGCAGTGTTGTGTGCCATAAGTGCTGTAGTCACATTAGACTGTTCTTTACCGAAGGAAACGCCAGCAAATGCGCTGGTTGACAACAATGAAAGCATTGATGTTAGTTGTCGACAATGATGCAAGAACACTATCGTTAGGTCCTTTTTTTTACAATCTGCCCCCCCCCTTTTTTTTCCCCCTTTAACCTGAACGGTCGACCACCGAGTGAAGGAGGGGCAGTTCCTGGCGTATCTGTGTCCAGTCACCGAAACAGAAAACAGCTGGACTGTTCATCGTGCGCATGCTTCGCTTGTCGACTGTGCGGAAGACGCTTAGGCATTCACGATTTAAATAATGAGCGACTGTACAGCCACAACTTCCAAAGAAGTGTATAGGTGTGCGTTTTGTACGGGCATAGAATACGAATGACAGCGCCGCTCGTATGACACGACATATCGGTCACATCACATCCGACATACATGATCGAATGAATCGGCAGTCGCGGCCACGGACGACATGCCTGAACGTCCACTTAGCGCGGTACTATTATGTCAACAAATACTAGTCCCGTATAAAAGCTAAAGTGCGGGTTAAATAATAAACTGGACAAAAAAAAAAAGGAGCCAATGACCACGCACCGGTAACAGAGTCGAGTAGTTACGCCCCCGGGTAGCATGCTGCCGTCTTTTTCCTAATGCTTGCTGCTGAGCTTGCGCACGTTCTGTGTTGGCACGTTCCTTCCTCCGTGTGTGTTGGGGAGACCCGCTAGAACGGAAACTGTACCTTTGGGCTGTTGTATCAAATAACTTGCAAATAACTTGTAGCGGCGGCGTACTAAACTGCAATACCGCGAGGCAAGATGGCGCTAAAAGTACTATCATCATCAATAAACAAACGCGTAATTTTTTTGTTGCAGGTAAGGAGAGGGGGGGGGGAGGGGGTCCGCGGCTAGTTCGCGCTGCTCGCTTCCGCTGGGTTTTTTTTTTTTTTTCTTTGCCCAATCGCGTTTCGCGTCTGTAATTATCGCCAGGGTACCTAGCTGGCCTCGACTGGCAAAAACAACGTCAATCAAGTAAGGTTTGCATCGTTTATTGCGAGTGTCCAAGCCGGTACAATCAATGTATACGGTCGGGTCCGAACAAAACAAGTCACTCATACGTATCGAAAGCTTTAAACCCATGAGTAAAGACTCTTGAAAGCTAACAAGCATATGCATATAACTGAACATCGAAATCGCTGAATGAACGTCGCTCTCATTGTGTTGCGGCGCTCGAGTTTAATAGCGTGGCTTCAGGACAAGGGTCCGATTCTGCCGTCAGATGCGGCGCTTGCCCCGTAGTGTTGATCTTTAAGTGTATGCATGATGTGGAATCGGAAAAGAAACTTGTACATTGCCAATAGATAGCTCGCGCAGTTAGAGCAATTTAGTTGTGCTAAATTTGTTAAATAAGCAATTGCGAATGCGTGCATTTCTGAATCTTTCTCGCTCTGCAATGCTACAATGAGTACTTCACAATTCTGCAATGTCGCGTCGTGTCGAGAGCGTAGGCACTAGTTTAATACTCAGCCGTGAGCCCATATCATAGGTATTATATATTTAGGGGATGGGCCTAAAAATATTTCAGGCTTGCTACATTTATTGTTAGAGTTAAGTTACAAAGTTACCACAGCTAGAATTTCTCGTCGCAGGTAATGACCAGTCTGCTGAGTATGCAGCGAACATGTATGCTAAAGGGACACTTATGAGGTGTGTGCTTACAGATCGAAAGGCCCAATTCTGAGAAAATAAGCTTCAGGTATGCATTGTACAATTTTGTTATCTCTACATCTTTGTTGGCACTCTTACATCTCACTATCTGCTCAGCCCTGAGCACAATCTCTTTTTTTGCATAGACATGTCCATAGAACTTCAGTACTCTCTTACAAGCAATCATTCCTGAAATCGATTGGTGGTACATGATGTGAATCTCTCCGAATACTGGATCAATAAAGGTCACATTTATTACACACTTGTTATTGTGTTTACTTTTTCAGTATACTTGTGGTTGAAAATGAAGTTGTTTTCTCCCTGCTACATTTAGAGGTTAGGACTTAAAATACGTACTATCTTGCAGTGTGGTTGCAGATAAGTGAAGATCATGTATGTTTCAACTACCTGTGCGATTTCCTAGATTTTTTTTCATGACCGTAGTGCACAGAATTTCTCTTCGTAGTGGTACACACTATAGTTATGACAACTTAATTTAAACAGAAGCAGATGTGCACAAAGAAATCTGGAACGCTTTTCTGCCAAAAAAAAAACAGTACTACCACATGCAATGAACACAATCTTGCTCCTCATGGCAGCATTCACGTATTTGAGGAAGCTGTGCTGCAACTGCTTATCACCTTTATGATTTATTATTTTAGGAGCCCATTGAACATATGTGCAAAGCTAAAGCAATTGAGTGCAGTCTTATGAGCTTTGGTGCATCTTTTTGTAATCTTGTATGAGGCAAACACAGTTAATTAAGACAAAACAGTTCTGGGTGTTGTTGGTAAACTGTCACAAGGCACAACTAAATGTCGGAAAGCCTGTTAATGCCCATCACTGTGGGTGTGTTCATTATGTAGTGCAATTAATAATTTCCAACAATTCACATGCCAACTATGAAGTGATCGTGAGTCGTACAGTAGTGGACAAATTAGGTTGATTCTGGCTTCCAGGGGTTCAAACAAATGACAATGTAGGCTCACAGGAGACAAGAGTGCTTGTCGAAACATTTGCTTTGACCCCTTATGTTAACATATTTTTCATATTTTCCAGCTTCCATCTTTTAAGGGTCAGTGTAGTTCACCTGCACCAATCCGAACTGATTCACAGCTGTGCACGAGAAGTTCAGAACTTGTGCGCAGGAGTTGTGCGGTGCGGCATCACAAGTGAATGACAAGGTACCGACAAGGTGGAATCCTTATTTTTGTTCGCTTAATTTAATGAGGTGCAAACATCTTGGCAAAACACGCCGCATTTATAGGGGTGGGTACAGCACCTACGCCTAATGCTATGTTGTTTGTTTAGCTGTCCGAGCGGCTGCACCAAACCAGCGCCGTCAGAGCAGAAGGTACCGCAAAGTCATGAAATAGTTTTGGTGCTGTACCTCTCCTGCGCTTTTTGAAATGAATGGCAAGATTTAGAAGATGCCATTGATGCACCACTGAAACGAATGGCGAGGTGCAGCACTTTGTAAAATGGAATGATGTGTGCAGGTGAATCGAACAAACCCTTAAGCACACAAGCGTCTTAGCGTTTCACCCCCATCGAAATATGGCTACAATGGCTGGGATCAAACAGTGTGTTGATGAGCTCAGCAAAGCCACATAATCTAACTAATAGTGTTACAGTTTCAACATTAATGAAGTGTAGAGTCCATGCCACGGTAGGCAGGCAATGCTTGTAGCCAATCTAGAGCACCTCTCCACAATATGCACTGTAAAAAATTCACAAATACAGCATTACATGTGTAAGGTTCGAGATGACGTGTTGTAGAAAACATTCAGATGTTTCAACGTGCTTGCAGAGTGGACATTCAGAGGTAGTCATCCTGTCATTGCATGGCAGTCTGGAAAAACGAGTAACATCACCAGATATCAATGCATGAAATCAATGCATGAAATTTTCCAAAGTAAACAAATAAACTCAGTTAATTAGTAAACAGCAGTATTTGATACATATATGTAGTGGTACCTCATAACACGTATATTACTCAGGGCTGCTTCTTCACAAGGCATGTCACGTAGCAGGTTCCTTGCCCATTGTAAACATTTGCTTCCATGTCAGGTAGGCCAGGAGGCTGTGGCAGAAAATGAAGTATTCCTCATTTATGTGACGCTTCCTTTGCCACTTTATAGCGAAACCAGACCTATAATTGTGTGATGTTTCTCAAACGCGACTGCAGTAAATTATTAACTAGTATTGTGAATAAATAAATAAACTAGTAGGTTTTTTGCACTAGTATATGGGCTAGCTAAGAAGACACATGCGAGGCGACAATGATTCGTTTGCCTTCTTTTATCGCAACGGCATGGTTGGTGTTACCTGGTGATAGAATTTCAGAATTAACTATTGAGTTAGCGACTCGTTCCCACGTGAAGCCATGCACGCCGCAAGTAACGCACGTTTTTCCGGCTACAAATTGAGACGTTCAACAATTTTAAAATTTAATACTTCAATGCGCTGCCACTGTGTGACGCCTACGCAGGCATTGACAAAAAAAAAAAACTACATATGTTGAAATGAACCAACTAGCCCCGCAAGCAACCATCCTTAAAAAACTGAAGTGGTTTCTACTCACCGGCCCGGGCTTGCAACGGGTGTTCATCCGATGAAAGCTTCAACGGTCGCTTCGTTCCCCGAAAGTCACTCAAATTTTCTTCGTGAAAGCATTTGAACGAGTTAAATAAACAGAATGAGAAAGAATGTGCCGGTCGGCAGAGGCTCGAAATATTTACAGCGAAACGAAACAGTCCGAGACGCATCCGAACGTACCGCCAGCCGTTACCTGCCATCGCAACCGTTGGCCGCCACTACGGAGGAAGGAAAGGTAAGGAGAGGGCATGCCCAGCCGGCGCAGGGCGTAAAAAATGTGGCCGAAATGACATCATGGCGGCCATATTCACTAGGCACAATGACGGCGTTACTATGGTTACGTGTTGCGCAGTGGAGCTGGTCTAGCAGTGAGCGGCCGCGGCTGGCGGCGGAATGTGTGCCTCCCTAGATCTCGTGCTGAGCCGTGGCGGACAATATCTGTGCTCTGCGCCGCGTTATTGGTTACGCAGTGTTCTCCTGGCTGTTACATACTCTTAGCAACGTTTACAAATCCCTTTGTCCATCACGGGGTTTGAACAGTGCGTAGAACAAGTGCATATCCATGTGTCGTGCGGCGGATGACGTGGATGAAGCAGTTAGTGTTCAGCGAAATTGCGTTGGGCACCATGACGAAGCTGAATGACGACGAACACCTTGCAGGTCAGCGAGGGACGGACGACGCTGTTGAGCCCAGCAAGACGCCGTGATGACCATGTGTACATACGTAGTTTCGTGTTGTGTATGTACAGTAACAACTTGCATGTGCGTATTAAAACAGCTTTGCTGTTCCGCTTGGTACACTCTCCACCAGCATTGCATGTAATCTCAACGTAACAATAACCACGTTCAACTGTCACTAGCACCGTGCTCAAAGTCACCACGGTCGCAGAATGCTGACGCCGGTGAGTTTCACGCGGAACACGGGACACAGTGGCAGGACGCTGCGTCGGCCGCGTGGCGGAATGCAACTGTAGAAGGCGCACGACCGATCGTGTTGTCTGTACAGTCGCTGAATTAATGACGTGAAAGCACTCGCCGTTGTCAGTGCATCTAGCGCGCGTTCTCTCGAAGTTGCTTCGTTGTCGGCGAGCTGATACTCCCTGTTATTACTCGGACGAAGCGATTTCGCTGAAGGTGTCCCGCTGGCTCAGAGTTATGAGCCCAGTTCCATTAGTTTCAGATCGTCACGACACACGCGCTGCGCAGCCCACGTGCTTTCCGAGCCGAAGAGAGAGTCGTGCCTTCTGCTTTACATTCGGATGTAAACAAGCGAGGAATATTTGCCTAGTCAATATGGGCGACTTTCGGCTTCATCTCGGCTGCACAACGAGTGACGTCAGGGCTTCTCCTTACCTTTTTTCTTCCTCCGTACGTCAGGGCCTCTCCTTACCTTTCCTACACTGTACCCACACAGAAGTGGCTCCTGCGCCGCACAAAAGTGACGTCACTTCAAAAATTATTACCTAAAGCTAGTTAAATGTGTAACGTATTCATGTGTATTGCGTTAAACATACAAAATTTTACTGAGCAAGTGTTTAACGATTCAATCAGCATAGGTTTTTTAACTAAACACATATTAAAAGTATCTTAAATACAGGGAGCGCCATGGGCGCTGCAGCTCGCGACAGGTAAACACTGCGAGATGGTAGCTGCCTGCGATGTGTGTTGGTTGTTCTGTGTGTAGGTAGTGGAAACTCCGATAAAGTCGTGGCCATAGCCTAGGCCGCCCCCAAGGAGGACCGGAGGCCCTGTGTCATCGCTGCTTCATGTGACTGCTCGATGCCCAGTTGAACCTGGTGGTTGGAGCTAGCGCAGCTGTCCACCGTGCTGCACCTTCATCTGAGTGTGTGCGCCATAAAGTTTCTCAGTATGAAGTGCGTATTATTGTTGCTGAACATACTGCATTTTCTAGATTGCAATGCCAAGCGTGGTGCTGTCAAAGGTGAAAGTGCTTTTGCTGCCGAGTTTGCTTGTCGCGAAGGGCAAGGTCGACGATGAAATAAATGCTTTCACACAGTTCACGTGTGACTGACCGGACGCACACGCATGAAACTCTAGTGCGTCGGTGAAGTGTTCATACGATGGATGGAAACAACTTTGTTGTAGTGTTCTTACGAAGCCTGCGATCTCCGAAGGCCAGATCTACTGCATTGCCGGCTGTTTTGTCAAGTGCGAACACGTACGGCCGTTCTCATCCGTTGCTACGTAAATGCTCCAGTGCTGTCACGGGCCGTGCATGTTATTCAGCAAGACAGACAAGCTGTATTGTAGTTTAGATGGGCTAACTCCATCGGCAGTTGCTCTTGGGCATCGTTTAGCAAGTGTTGATCGCCTAGAACATTGCGGTGGCACGTCAGTATTTTGAAGCGGCCTGCCGGTTACCTCGTCAGGTGATGGTACACTGAACAACATAAAAAAAAAGTTGCCCGAGACTACGTTGCAGTGCACCTTTCTGTCATCAAAACTTAGATAAACCGTGGAAATCAACATTCCCGACACCTGTGTCGAAGAAACCAATGCAGCCAGCTGCATTTGCGTTTTTCGTGTCTTTTTGCGTCACGCGGATGAAGAGCAGTAATTCACAAATCACTTTATCATAATAAATATAGTCAGTCCGGCGGGAGTCATCAAAGATCCAATATTAAAGGGTCTGTGGACGGTACC